TGTGACTCTACAACTTGAAATTTACTATAAATTTACATGACTTTTGCATAACAATTCACATCTGTTTTAATATACTATGTTTCTGGTTTAGGTGCATGAGATCTAAAGGGCCTGAATGTGTAGGAATGCCAATGTGCAGGAAAAATACAACAGAATAGCTTCAGGTGTAGCTTTTTAAGATAAAAAAGAGTGTTCAGTCATGTTGAAAAATGATTTTGAAATGGAAATGCTCAGTCATTTTGAAACCCTCCTTTTTGAGAAATACTGAAAGGCATCATTTAAAATGTCAAATTAGCTATGTGTGATATGTCATATCTAAAAGTGTCTTTGTTACTTTGAGTTTTCTGGAAAAGTATTTTAGCGAGACCACTAAAAAATATAGTCCAATGTACTCTAACACAAAACAGCAAAATACGCTTGTACTACCTGGTATATAAAAAAATACATCTGGAATTAGAGTTTCTACACTGTACTTCAGCTTGAAGTTATCTAGAAAAGCTGAGCAATGCATTCTGAAAACTGGACTTTACAATGGATACGTGGACAGATTATAGTGCTCTGACTGGCAACTAATTTAAAGTTTTTGCTCTCCGTTATTTCTGCATAGTATTAACTAATGGGTTGAATTTGGAAGTTGCTTTTTCATTATTAGTATCATAGAGGATAACAAAGGGCCCTGAACTAATAAGTCATACTATTTTAAGCTTTCAGTAAGATGACCCAGAAAGAAAAGTTAAAAATATTTATCTCCATTTCCTTGACACCTGGGCTGAGTGAACATTTCAAAACTGCAAAATTTGGTTAAAAAAAAAAGACCCCTTCCCATTTGCAGATAAATAACATTTGTCTTCTTTGCTGACTAGTCTTATTTTTTCATTATATATTTCTAATCCACTTAAATCTTGAAAATATTATATAATGATTGTCCCCAAAAGTCTTTGCTTAGGTCATAAGCATGCTAAGACTCATGGCCAATATCACAGTGACAAGCTTAATATATGAAGGGAGACAGAATCCATAGCAGTTTCATACAAGTAAATTCTTGGATTAAAAAAACCTGAATGATCTACCCATCTTTTGTTAGCATCAAAAAACAACAATCCATTGCACAGGAATACAAAAATTTCATCTTTCCTTCCAAATATTACTACTAAATTGTTGTCTCCAAAGAAGTTGCCTCATTTTAGGAATCCCTATTTGTCTGGATGAGTTTACTCCCTCATCACAGGTAAATTCTGCCATACTAAAAAAGCATACTGCAACGTCTCTTGCAATAAACTTAGCTCTTTTCTGAATGACTAAGAAAACAGTTTGTATCTGTACAACATTCAGATGGAAATTGAAAATTTTTGGCAAAATTCTGTATGCTTCCCAATACCTGGATGTTTGAGGGCCAAACATTCACAATTTAGGCAGAATTGTTGTTTACATTCAGATGTTTGCCATCCTATAAATGCATAGGAAGTGATATGTGAAGAGAAGGGGTTGGATTTTTTTTTTAGATTAATTCAATTTAGTACTGTTACTTTGTTGTCTATAAATTCAACTTATTATTCAAGAGTATCTTGTCCTCTTAAAAAACAAAAACAAACTAAAAAACCCTAGTTCATAATTAACTATATTACTGGACAACAAGTATGATTAACAGTACAGAGTAAGATGTAATTATAATAAATAAATGAAGTGTTGGGGGAAAAAAACACCACATTCAGAGAAAAAAAAAGTGTCTAAGTGAAATATTTTATTTAGCTACCTGTGGTATTCTACTTTTGAGGGGTTCAAACATTTATCTCTTACATTATGTCATTTCTGTTCGAAAAAAACAGCACTTTCCATCCAAAGCATATATATACCAGATTTATATATATATATATATATATATATGCATATATGACACAATTATCATATCAGCATTAAGCTGCATGAAGTAATAGCTTGAGACTAATTTACTATCCCTGATCTTTCATTTACTATACCAAACTCTTTATAGAACTCCAAATATTAGATAAATCTGGTCAAGCAACCAGATGTTTCTAAATGTGCGGATTTCTGGCATCAGAGATCGTAAGTAACCTAATCACTGAACTTTTCAAGTTTTACTTCAGATGCTTGGTGCTGTGTAGACACCTCATACCTATCTTTTTATTTTATATTTCCAATAAATTTAAATTGTCGAACTCTTTAACATGTTACCTTCAAGTCTAATGAGAATTCTGGGCCTTAGGTAAAATGAGTCTTTTAAAATCACCTTTTGAGTTGGCAGATTAAATATCTATTGTTCCAAGATTTCCATTTTTCAGAATATAAAATGCTAATCATTAAAAATGAGTAATTAATAAGGGAAGATGGCAAGGGCTGAAAAACATTTCATGAGCCAGTTGCAAAGTGAAACTTGCCCCAGAGTGCAGCATCCCTTTCCCATAATACTCATTCCGATTTCTGTACTGATACTAACAATATAAAAACCTATCTAGATAACTAGTGTTTTTAATTGACCTGGAATTTTCTTTCTTTCTACTTCCACCCACACATTGCATCTGAATTGTTGAGTGGGGGTGAAAGTGATCAAGGACTAGTAGCTGCGATTGGCCTGTGGGAGTTTTGGCATCAGCCCCAATACAGGAATAACTGGCATCACCTCCTCCTTTTTTCATTCCCGGAACTTTCCTTACCCTGATCTCTATTGATAGTACCAACCCAAGGGACCCCAAGTCCAACCTGCATAAGTTCTACTAATTAGGAGTGGTGAAGATTAGTATAGCCTTGGAAAAAATTGGTCTAGCTTACGTTTTGGTTTTGCAACTCTGAAATCTAGGCCCCAGGGATAACAACATTTTGTTTTCCCTTTCAGGATCTTCTCTTTATCTTGAACAAGTCCTCAGGTTATCCCCCTGCCTGGGAAGGTGCTTCATTCCTGCCTCCACAGTATTAGGGCAGCCCCTGCTTGTCCCGGAGCCTTCATCTAGGCTGCTTCTCTCCATGTTCCAACAGGCTGGGGACCACACACTCCTCAACCTGACAAGGTGCTTTCCCGAACCCAAACTCACCCCTAGAATTGATATTCTAACCCAGATAACGGTATTTGCTAGGAAAACTACTAGGAGGGACAGGGGAAAGACGGAGAGAGGACAGATTGATAAAGCAGGAAACTCGGGCTTCTCCCGCTGTTGCCGGGTCCAATTCCCCCACCTTTCCAAGCTCGTACCTCTTCCAGCAAAAAAAGGTGAGGGGGTGCTAACCCATCAGCTTACTCCCACTGCTTCTTGGAACTGAGAATGTGATGTAAAGAGAAAATGGGAATGGAATAAAGGGGGCAAAGTTGTTTCGTTTTGTTTTTTTAAGCTAAACCAAGTTTTATTCCAAATTTTTGAAGTTAGAAGCAGAATTTTCAAGTGATTACTCCCCACCACCACCACCATCTCTCCCAGACTGAGCTCTAAGAAGGAGAAAAAGGAAAACTGGGAGTGAGGCGTTCAGTACGTGAGGATCTCTGCTTAGTCCAGGGGTACCTCCTGGGGTGCAGAAATGGGACTCACCGGGGACCAATACGGGCGGAAACCGGTGCACAGGGGCCAGATATAGCCTTTAGGGGCCAGATCCCCGCCCGCCCAGCCCACTCTCGGCCCTGGAGCACCTCAGAAAGCTCCCCTCCCCTCGCTCTTCCACTTCCCCCTTGAACCCCAGACGAAGCCAGGAGCTTTTCTGGACAACTGCAGGCAGCCTCCAACAGCCGCCCCGCCTATCTCTTCCCTGCCTCAGGGACTGAGCAAAGCCCGTAGCGGGTCAGGAAAGCCGGCACCCTCAGTCTCCAGAATCCTCCAGCGGACCTGCCCTCCAGCGGCTCCCTGCCCCAGAGCCTTCCCGACCAACTAGTCCAATACCACCTCCTCTAAACCTCCCCGGGTAATAATAGGTTTGGGTACTCCCAGGCAGAGTCGCTGGGCGTCCACAGAAAGCCCAGACCCGGGAAAAATCTCCCCCCGAAACCCCTTGACATAAGAGATGGCACGGAGAGACGAAGGCGAAACAGAGAGAGAAAACACTCTTAAGTGACTTGGGCCCCTAGCTTTTCCTTAAATCAAATAAGAGACACTATGAAAACTGAACTGGGGTGGAGAGCCAAATAGAGAGTGTGCCCCTCACCCCCACTGAGTGCGAACCCAGCTGGAAGTCTGGGTGACGGAGGGGGAGCAGTAGAAACTGAGAACTGAGGGAGTGGGTTGGAGGACCGAGGAGGTTACGAACGGAACCGTGGAGAGGAACTGGCGGGGTGTTTTGAGGGTTAAAGGCAGTGAACGAGGTTGCCGATGTCGGAGTTCATTGCGTCTAGATGCTTAGAAGAAAGTTAACAAGGAACTAAGGAGTAGGACTGAAGCAAAGGCAGAGAAGCAGTGGGAAAGACCACTGCTAGAGAATGAGGGGGTAAAGAGGTAAATAGAAAGGTTGGAGGGGGTAGAGGTCAAAGAAGGAAAGTGGGACAGAAGGTAAGGGAGGGGCGAGATTTGGAAAGGTGGCTTGGGGTCTAAAGAGGTGCGCCAAACTACCCTGGCGGTAGAGAGAGGAAAGTGGAGCTGGGATGAAGGGAGAAGGGATTAAAAAGGTGCATCACTCGGAGGTTAGGGGAGCTAGCCAGCCGGGAGCTGGAAAGCACCATGCCCTTTCTCAGTTAGGATTAGAAGAAATGTACAAATGGGGGTGACAGATCCCTACTTAAAATGGGGGAGTCGGAGCGCTCGGGAAAGGCGTTTGGGGGAATATTCCCCTTATGTTAGTGGTAACTGGTAAAGAAGGATCAAGAGAGAAGAATGCATTGCCCTCTTCCTCTGATGGTGTCTGGGGGAGCCGGTTTCCTCACACAAACAAACACATGAACAGGCACACGCACACCCATTGCCTGGAAGTGGGGGATTCAGACGGGCTGCGGTGCTGGGTGAGCAGGAGGGTGGACGCAGGGGTCAGAAGGGCAAGGCAGCAGAGCGAGTCGGCAGCCCCTTCCTTACCTTGAACGCCACGGGCAGGGTCTTGTTACAGCGCCAGTGAGAGGGCAGTACGGAGCACAGGAAGTTGGGGCTGTCTGTGCGGACGAGTTCGGCGGGGTGGTCAGCGATGATTTCCACCATGGTGCGGTTGTCGTGCGGCGGGCGCAGCCTGGGCACCGCGGCCGCCGCCGCCGCCGCCGCCGCCGCCGCCGCCGCCGCCGTCGCCGCCGCCGCCTCCGGCTGCTGCTGCTGTTGCTGCTGCTGCTGTTGCTGCTGCTGCTGCTGGGCAGCCACTACCGGGCTCACGTCGCTCATCTTGCCGGGTTGCAGGCTGCTGGAGGGGGGGCTGAACCGCCGACTGGTGCTCGGATCTACGGGAATACGCATCACAACAGCCACAAGTTAGCGAAGTGGCCGGGGGGAGGGGGGGGGGGGAAGCCGGGGGGGAAAGAAGGGGGAAAAGGAAACCAGGGGGGGGGGGAAGGGGGGGGGGGGGGGAGGGGGGGGGGGGGGGGCTGAGCAGTCGGATTGGCGGGGTGGGGAGAAGAGGACGAGCAGTTCTTTTCCGGAGTCTTTGGAAAAACCGAGGGTGGCAGCCGAGAAAGGGCGCGTGGGTGTGTGTGGCGGCTGGGGGGAGCTTGTGGTTGGAGCGGGTTTAAATGGGGTCCCCTCGGACGCCTGGGTTCCTGGGTCTCCCTTGAGCCCCCCCTTCCCAAAGTCCAGTTCAGCGGACGGCTTCTTGGTCAGCGGCGCCCAGCTGGAAACAGCATAGCCCCGGGACTGCCTGCTGCCGCTGCTGCGGCCGCTGCTCTTCCCACAGCTGCCCAGCTGCAGCCTTCTCCTCAGCCTCCACCTCCTCCTCTTCCTTCTCCTCCTCCTCCTGTTGCCGCTGCCGCAGATGCTCCCCCCTTGTGTTCTAGCTCACTCAGATTACGGCTGCTGCCGCCGCCGCCGCCGCCGCCGCCGCCGCTGCTACCCTCCGCAAGCTTCAAGGCTCCGCTCTTTCTCTCCTTCTCCCCCCTCTTCTTCTCTCTTGCTCACCACCACCTCCTTGCAACTACTTCTGCTTCTAAGTGCAAGAGTTTCTTTTCCTTCTGATTTTCAAGGTGCCAGGAGGTAAGTTGAGTGGCAGCCGATCTCTAGTCCTAACTTTGCATTGTTGCTGTACTGCTGCTGTCCACCAGCGGGGGAGAAACACCAAAGAGGACAAGTCCGTCTGTCTGTGCCGCAGGTTCGGGATACCGAGCCGGTTTGGGGTGTCGGTAGATGTGTGAATGTCTCCCAGAGTATAGAGGGGTTTTCACCTCTACTTGTCCTCTTCCTTTCCCTTTTCCTGTCTCCCCTAAAACACCGAGGAGCACTTTCCTGACCAAATGTATTGAGGAAGCTCAAGAGCTGCTGGCTTGATCCGACAGCAGTGAACTTTTCGTTTTTCTCAAAGCGTCTCTGCTGACTTCTTAATCTATTTTCACCCACCCGCCACCCTACCCCACCCCCACCACGGTCAAAAAGGCTTGAGGGAGGAAAAAAAAATACTTCTTATTTATTTGTTTTTAAAGAGGAAAAGGGGGGGGTTGAAATATTGGTCAGAAGAATAATTAAAAGAGAAAAAAGCGTGACTGATGACAGAGGATAAGAAATAAACTTTTTTCTTACACACTCAACCTTGTGACTGCCAAAGAAGAAGGAAGGATTAAAAACAGTTGGAAAACTGTCAGCTTGGTGGTTAAAATAGGTTGCAAAAAATTTACGGGGGGAACGCAAATAGGCAGTTCCTGGTGCCTTTCAGCCCCTTAATTCTCTGCTAAATCTAAAAATTAATAGATTGAAAATCCCCCCCCCAATAATTTTCTCTCCCCCCCTCAAGTTCAGTGGGTGTAATTTGTTTGTAAATCTGAGTTTAAGGGGGGGAGCTGCTTTGGGTCTCAAAAAATGTGGTCGAAAGGATGAAGGAGCGAGAAAAAATGCCTCAGTTTTTGTCCTAAAATGTGGTTTTTGGAGGCTGGGATTTCTAATGATTAGGTTTTTGTGGTTTATATAGACAGGACTCTCTGGCTAAGGCGATCATTATGCTGATGAGAGTCAGAAGCACGTGGGTGTCTCCAGCCAGCCCTCATACTCTGTAGCCTTCAAAATAAATACAGCAATGTGCTTCGCCCACAGTAGGAGGAGATAGTTGGGGGGGGGGGGAGAGAGAGAGAGAGAGAGAGAGAGAGAGAGAGAGAGAGAGAGAGAGAAAGAGAGAGAGAGAGAATCTCTTGTTGGAATCAATTTCACCCACAGGAAGGGGGGGGGGGAGGACCGTTTTCTCCTCCTGCTGGTTACTGCTACTCTCCCGGCTTTTCATGAACATTTTTTTTTACCCCCAACAACTTGAAGATGTTTTTCACAAAATGAAAATCATGAGCTGCCAGAGGAGTTTCAAAGACTCCAAGTAAGGATCCGATCTACATTCCCTTAAGTGAATGAAAATTCTAAAACATTCCTTAGACTTTAAGATAAAGTATAATTGTTTTCTCAAAAAAAAAAATCTTGCTTAAAATAATTTACATATTCAATATTAATTTTTCTAAATGTGTAAACACCTCCCCCACATTGATAACAACCTATGAAAATCTTCCTGGTAATTTCTAAGGCTTCGCTTCAACTTACTGCTCCAGTTAAAAGATTGGGTTGAACATGGTCTAGAGGGGTCTCTATTTGGAAGGTGTTGAGGGCGGGGGAATGCAGAAAGCTTGTGCGAGGGACGTTGGGCTTTCGGTGTGTTGACTTTGAAACTGGTTTCTAGCCCGAGATAAACTCCGAGGTTTATTTTTAAAGCGACACGGAAACAAGAAAAGCCCCACAGTCCTGGAAAATTAAAAGAGAGCCTAAGAAATGTGTGTGTGTGTGTGTGTGTGTGTGTGTGTGTGTGTGTGTGTGTGTAAATTCACGCCAATCAGAGGAATAAGCTTCCTCGGACCTAGATTACACATACCAAAAAAAAAAAAAAATACTCCTCTTTGGGGGCGTTCTTTTCTCCCTCTTCCCTATCTATCCCTCCTTTCTCCTTTCCTTTTCCCATTTTCCTTTTACTCTTTTTACTAATTTACCCTTTGTGCATCTGCCTCCTGACCTTAAACCATACACACACATACACATGCAAGCACAAACTTCCTTCCCTTTCCCCTCCCTTTTTCTTTCTCTGCCTTCCTACAGTTGCTACTGCCGCTGACAAGTTCTCCAAAGAGGAGAAACATACAAATGCAGCAACTCTTGGAAACAATCCCCTTTTTCCCATTGCCCCCCACCCCGATCCCTATCCGTAAGTCCCTCCCACCACCCCCCAACACACACACAGAGGACCGGTTACCCAAGCCTTGGCGGGCGCAGGTTTGTGGGATTATTTGAGTCAAGTTTATTGTGCATCGAATTGTTTGTATGTCCGTATGTACGGTTTTTGTTTTGTTTTTTGTTTTGTTTTTGTTTTTTGTTTTTTGTTTTAATGATCTTTTTGGTCACTGGAGAGAGCTCTAATTCTGGGCACTGTTCACTGTTTTGCAAACACCGTGGTCAATTTCCCCCTTGCCTGAGGCTGCCGTCCTGGAAGAGGAAATTATATTTTCTTTTCCAAAAACCAAAAGATACTTCTCAGTTTGTTACTGTCCCTTTCCTAGTCCCCAACCTTTTTTTTTTTTCGGGACAAGCAATACCATTCCCTACATTGGCAGAGACCCCTTGGTATCAATCAAAATGAAATTGCGCGGGGGATGCAAAATGCAAAAGAGGGAGGGCGTTGCAGGAAGTGAAATTATTCCTCTGGTCTAAGGGAAATAGGAAGCTTAATAACCAACAACCCAGATGAAAACCATGCCTTCTCCACCCTGATGTCTTTTTCCCGGGAGAACCACTGAATTAGAAAAGGGTGAAGGAGAATTTCAACACCCATTTTCAAATGTGGGAAAGCTGAGCTTTGCTTTTTTTAAAAGAAGATTTAGGGCAGTTTGAAAGCTTAGCCAATGACATTCAGGACTTTCCCTTTCCTTTTCAATGTTGTACCTTTCAATATGCTTTAACATCAAGGATAGAATTGGGATAAATAGTAAAAAAAATCGCTGAAGTATAACTTTACCTTATCTACAAATAAAATTCATGGAGGAGGGGGAGGGCAATTATGGAAAATTTAGTGAATGACAAAATTATTTATTTTAATTAGTCACATCCAGTAGCTGAGTTTTATAGACACCCTCCCTGTCCTTCCCCTATTTCACGTTTCTATAGAGGGAATATAATCAGCCATTGGAAGGTACTTGTCTCGATCTCTTAAAATATCCTACAGTTATTTATAATGTGGAAATGAAATTTTCCACTGAATACTCTAACAAAGTTTCAGGTATCTGGCACCGGTGATTTTTCAGACTCCTTGCAAAAATATCCTGCTGCACATTTACACTTTCAACTGGAACTGAGTGAAACCTGGAACGGATCTCTTGGCTCAAAACATTATTTTTAAAAGAAGAAAAAAATTTAGAAACCTCTGAATAAAACCTCCCCTGGTAATAAAAGGCACATATGAAAACAGTATGGAATTTTAAATATAAATGTACATATATAGTTATAGTTATAACTTTTATGATCTCACAATTTGGTTATGATTTTCTCTTCCCAGAAAACATAAGGTACACAACTTTCCTTAGATTCTTCTCAGGGAATACTCATCTTCTTGATTCTATTTAATGGCATCAGAAAGCAAATATTCTCAGTAAAAATGTAGCAGCATTGAAAATTACGTACCGGAATAGGTCGTCAGTGAAAAGATAATCATCTTACAATTAGTAGAAGTGTCTAGCAATGATACCTAGTGATTCTGTTATTCTAACTTTACCAATGAAAAAAGTGAGGTATGAAGAGGTCAGATTATTTGTCTACCCAAGTAAATCAATCCCAGAAATGGTAATAGATCATGTCTCTGCATCCAACTTGCCGGTACTAAACTCTAGACAGCATTTTATATTTTTGTGCTGTAAATTTCATCATCAAAATGGCAATGCATAAAAAGTCAACTTTAATGGCTTTCCAAATAGAGTAAATCTTTAAAACATTTTTCAAGGAATCAACTAATAAAAACTTAAAGTTCCTAAGTGGAAAAACCTTAAAGTATAATGGAAAATTACGAATGTGTGGATGGGGCCTAAAACTCAGCATGTATCAAATGGGAAAGCTTTGTAAACAGGAATTCACTAAAAGGGCTTTATTTTATACTGGATAGTGTGATTGTGTGGCCATAATAACACTTTTGCTAAGTGTGCTTATATTACTTGTATCATTGCAAACTACTTTATACTAATAATAGCTCACATTTATACAGCACTTTGAGTTTTGCAAAATACTTTCAATATGTTAACTCATTTGATCATCACAAAAACCCTGCAAAGTAGGGTATAT